GTAGAAGTAACTTGCTATTTTTCGAATCGGCTCATCAGAATAAGGGTCAAAAACCTACAAAGAATTTGTCTATCTTCCAAAAAATCTAAGATTTGAATGCAGGAAATTTTCAGCCTTCCCTCTTCAGTCGCATTTTAAATCGAGAATACATAGGAAAAACATGATTCGTCGTCGTTTTTGACATTTTTTGCAGGCCTGTATTCATTACCTAATGCCAATTTTTATCTTGATTTTCCTCAAAGCGTTCTTCTATTATTACCCTTAGCCCTGGATTAAACTGAGTTTTTTACAAGTTAGTGAATTTTCGTTTCAGTGGAAACAGCTTCTCTCAGAATATTCTTTATCTTCCCTTTCCTCTCCTTCTATTTCTATATTTTCAAGCTGGTTGCTTAATGTTTGAGTGATTCAACAAGTGTAGAATCGGTTTTATATTCATTTTTCTTCGTTCCTTTTTTCCAATGAGCGCAGTTTCTAGAATTTGCTAGAAATAACTAGAAAGAAACTAAGTCAAGTCATACTTAGATCGAACCAAGAAAAAGAAATTTGATTTTTCTATTTATTCGCAAGATTAAATTTCATGGTCAAAATTCAACGTCTACATCACTTTCAAAATGTTTCATCTCGGCTTTTCATTTTCAATGTGCGGTCAAGCTCAAAACTGCGCTAAATTTATGAACTCATTTTTTCAGTATGTGACGTGGTTACTCTCTGTTTAATCCAGTCCAGCAGTGATACCAACTTTGAAGAATTGCCACTCTTTTTCAGCACGACTCATTTTCATACTTTCCTCAGCCTAGCCGCCCACTTTTCATTTTGCGTCAGCGCCGAAGGCTCCACGAGCCGTGGATCTCGAAGCTATCCACAACTTCCAAGGCTCATCAAATCCGAGAGCTTAAGTTAATTAAAAAAAAGGAAAAAAAGACAAGAGAAAAAAAAAATCTTTACGGTTCACCTAAGCTCGACTCACGCGCCCAAGACGGCACTTCTTAGCGCGTTTGCCAAATCGCAATAAAAAGTGTATTTTTTGAGTTTACCCACGTGGAGATTTCCGCACAGTTTGGGGGCCGTGCGAGGGGCCACCGTCATCCGGATTATCATTTTGTTTTACAACATAATTGTCAATGTTAATTCCGTTCGTTCACCCGGCCCCTGGCGCTCTTTGGCTCCAGCCAACCCAGAGCCTGTCTCTGCGCCCCTCTTACCTGGCGGCACGTGATTTTCGTAAGCCGCGCAAGTTGGTGTAGCGAAATCAGCTTTGCGCGAAAGCTTCTGGACTGAAGTAAAATTCCGTGGAACGAACCGAACTTTACTAAAAAATGAGCTGATTTTGTAGCAAATACATTCTACGTCACTCTTACAGCGCACTCAGACGCTCTGCGACACTCCAACGCCATACGTGCCTATCTTCTCATAGGTACTTGGGCATGGGCAACCAACAACATCTCTTCGTTGACACCCTGTCGTCATCCCTTCATAGGGCACCCCCCGTCGTCCTCTTCAAGGAGTGTAAAATTTGAAAATATTCGGCCAGATTTTCATTTCTTTTAAAACGTTAAGCTCGTCAATAATAACCTCCATCAAAATTCACCTCATCGGAACCAACAAACTGTACTGTAAAAGTGCGTCAAAATTTTGACGTCCAAAAAGTTCCACCCCCATTCATTTTCCAAGAAGAGAACCGAATAACAGTATTTTTCAGCATTAGGTGTACTCAAATTGTTGATTTAAGTAGCACGAACCATCGTTGAAAAGATTGAAAGTAAATTGATAGATTTTTATGTGAGAAGATACAATGTAAAACTTTTCGAACGCCATATTTTGGATACGTTGAGTTACCTCGTCGGCTGATAATTTTTTCAACAAATAAGTTTGTAATGTTATGTGAAATTTCATGAAACTGAAGGATCCTCTTTAAGTTACAAGCGTTATAGCCATGTACACAAGGAAAGTTTTGCGTACTTGGAAACAAGAAGTTCCAATTTGAGCCACACATGCATGCAGTCCGCATAAATTCTGGCGTTTGCGTGTGCACACGAATCTTGAATCCTTTCAGTACTCCCCGCGACTTAATCGATTTTTTTTCCGATTTTCAATTTTATATCTAGAATTGCATGAGGACTGATTGTGAGAATATGCGGGGTCTAGCTACGCTCTCGCAACTTCGAAATCGAATTTTTCGGTTTTTATCATTTAAAATGATTAAGGCCAGATTCATTCCGCAATGATGCGGATTCAACTTCTGCAGCGAGCAGTCGGAAAAAATGGTCTCATCATCGTCCATTCACATTTTTAACGGTCGTAGCACCAACGCCTTGTCGATTTAGAAAATAAAAAATACGCCTCTGAAATTCGGTGCAACCCACGATCTCATGTTGCCGTTTTTTTCCTGGAAGAACCTTGCTCCTTGCACGAAATTGGGGAATAGGCTGTCCCATCCTCAACATATTCAAATCTTAACACGCGGGCGAAAGTATTTCCATTTTTTATGCGTAAAATGGCACTTCTAATTTCGAATATTTCAAGAAAAAATTAATCAAACATTCAAAGTATGCAAGTGCGTCACATTTTGAGCAAAAAAATCCTGCAAAAAGTAACCGGTTTTTCGACTATGCGTGTGGAAAATCCGTCCCCAAAAGAAGGAAAAAAGAAAAAAAGAGGCAAAAAATCGGATGCGTAGGTAGACAAAATTAGAGCACTTTTTCTTCCTCAGGATAGAATATTTTAGAACTTGGCTGCAGTCGTCGGAGGTTTTCAGCCGAGACAAAATGTATTTTTTATCGGTGAATACACGAAAGAACTTAATTAACGTGCATATTCTAGGCTCGTGCTACACATTCAGATCGTCTCGAGGAACGTACTCGTATATACAAACTCTCGTCATGAAATAATCCGATTTCAAAATATCACGGTTTTTTTAAAAATATTTACGCCGAAATTTTTAAGGTTCAAACACCCTCGAACAACTGGGAAGGGCATTTACCTGAATGTTCACTAAAAAAAAGAAGTTCCGGGCTATAAAGACTTACCACCCGTTCCGCGGGCTCAGAGGCCGAAAGTTTCGGGTGCTGGAGCCGTAGCTGCGACTACTCCGGTTGCCCCGCACGGAACTTTTGGCCATTGAGCCCGGAACGCGGTCGGTATGTCTATGTAGTCCTACGTATGGCATCCACGGCCGGAGTTTATTTTCATACATACATTCCAGTCACTTTACAGCGCGCTCGGGCGCTCTGCGACACCTAATCGCCATCCTTGCCTATCGATCCAGAGGTCATCTGGTAGATGGCATCTTGCGATTTCATCTTGAATGCCACCAATCCACGATTTTGCTGGGCGTCCCCTACGTCTTCTCCCAGGAGGAACCCAATCTAGCACCTTCTTAGGCAACCTATCATCCGCCATTCGTTGAACATGACCATACCAGACAAGCTGTTTGGTCATAATTTCATGCACGATGTTCTGCTCGGCGTTCATGATCTCACGGACTCTTTCGTTCCTTACGTGATCTCTCCTCGAGATTCCGGCTGATCTTCGCCAGAAATCCATCTCAGTTGCCTTAAGAATCTTTTTGGTACGCTCTTTCATGGGCCACACTTCACTGCCGTAGGTCAGAATGCTTTATTTTCAGTGTTCCATATAATTCAGCACAAATGGTTGGTTTCGTATTGTAAGTGCATCACGAGGAGAGAAGATTAGGTGAAGTATACAAATAAAAATAAAAAATTAAATAAAATATAAAATCATTAAAAAGAGACGTCATTCATCAAAAAATAGAGCTTTTTTATCTCTTTCCGGAGGAAATTTTGATTTGCCACAGCTCAAATCCGTCGTAACATCCCTCGCGACACGTTGAAACTTCACTGAGATCCAGCCTAATGCAGCAGCTTAAAAGTTCCTCGGGGCTAAATCAGAGGAGTGCGGGAGAGAGAGCCGTCGGGCAAGGGAAGAGGGGGGCTTTGGATCACCGGAATCAAAATCAGAGCGCAAAGCACATGGCTCGGTTCTCATACTGCCACTTTTCGGTTTCTCACCCTCGCCTCCCTCTTTTCCGCTGCCTCGACGGATCCTGGTGTCGGGGTCTAGGGGTTTGGGCTGACAAGTGGGTGACTGTTGGCACCCGAGATCCCGAGAACGACGAATCAATCTTCTCTCGTTAAATGTGAGGCATTGCCAGATTGCTGATTCGAATTAACATGCGGATTTAATTCAGCATAATTATAGGATCAGTGAATAATTGGACGTATTCATGCTAAAATCTTGGGCACTAATTAACGAGAATCTAATTGATTTTTCTTTTAATCTCACGCGGAGATCAGGAAAATTGTACACAACAATTGCATCGGTATATTCTCGTAAAAAAAATCAATCGTTTGAGTGAATTTTGTAACCTTGGAATGGAGTTAACTTCCTGCTGGAAACAACGAAATGTTCATTTTGAACCAACAATTAAATTTCTCTTCAACTATTGACAAGTTTCTCAAAAGAGATTTTTATAACGCAATCTGCTTGATCATACTCTCCAGACCAAATAGCTTAGTTTCGGATCATTCGCGATTATTGATTATCCGCCATTATTGATTATCCGCGATTATGGATTACCTGCGATTATTGATTATCTGCGATTATTGATTACCTGCGATTATTGATTATCCGCGAGTATTGATTATCCGCGAGTATTGATTATCCGCGATTATTGATTACGTGCGATTATTGATTATCCGCGAGTATTGATTATCCGCGATTATTGATTACGTGCGACTATTGATTATCCGCGATTATTGATTACCTGCGATTATTGATTATCCGCGAGTATTGAATATCCGCGATTATTGATTATCCGCCCTTTTTTATGATCCACGATTATTGATTATCCACGATTATCGATTATCCGCGCTTTTACATTATCCGCGATTTTTAATTATCTAATAAATAATTGTAATGTATTGAATAATTTTCATGGATTTTGACTAACTTATGTTTTTCTTTTTCTTTTGCTTTTGCAGATTGTTCTGAGAGCGGGTCGAGCAAAGGGCGGGACTGCCTGGGGCGGAGTGGGGGGTCGACGAAGGTGTCGTCGGACGGGAAGCCGACGCGGGTGCGGACGGTGCTGAACGAGAAGCAACTGCACACGCTGCGGACCTGCTACTCGGCCAACCCGAGGCCCGACGCCCTCATGAAGGAGCAGTTGGTCGAGATGACCGGCCTCAACCCGCGGGTCATCAGAGTCTGGTTCCAGAACAAAAGGTGCAAGGACAAAAAACGGGCCATCGCAATGAAGCAGCAGATGCAGCAGGAAAAGGTAACCAAATTTCCACATCCAAAATCTATAGGGTGAAACTTAAATAAGTCACCCCCGAAAGGAACCTGTGGTTAAATGCATAGCTGCGGTCGCCAGTGCTCTCCTGTCATATTGTCTACAGCGTAAAATGTTAAAAAAAAAAAAAAAAAAAAAAAAAAAAAAAAAAAAAAAAACTCGTAACTTTCTAAAAGACAGCTCTCTTCAAAAAACGTAAAAAATTTAAAATTAATGGTTTAGGAAACCCTATTTATGGGTATTTTCTTTAAGTAACAAATTCTCTTCTCTCGGATGTAAGAGTGCGTATTTCTATTTCCGCGTGAGCCCTGCTTTACAAGTACATCCGTACTTTCTGAGGCTCATACGAAAATCAAGGTATGCCATCCCGTTAGAGGAACGACGAAAGAGGTAATATTTACTTTAAAATATGTTTCAAAATCTTAAAAGATCCACCGTTAATTTTTTTTAAGGATTCGATGATTTTTAAAAGAAATTTAAGTAACACTTCCTTTTAAAATTCTCTGTAATTTGTATAACTTGAGTTTCACAATAGTCTCTCTCTTTCCACCTCTTCCGAGCACTCCTTTTCTCGTAGGACATTGGAGATTTTAAGAACACTCTGTATCTCCGTAGCTGTGTTTTTTTATTATCTTCTAATTATTGATCCCAATGATCATTTTAATATATTGATCTACCCCTGAAAGGTGTTAAACGGCTTTATTAAAAAAAGTTACGATTCTTGAGAGGATTAATTGATTAACGTCATTCTGACCTTAATTAGGTGGAGGTTTAATTTAATTAGGTATTGGGAAAACACGTAAACTGCTTCCGCTTTATGCGAACAGATGCTATATAGATGCTCAGCCACCAAGCTACATTAAAATGAAAAGTAAAGAGACCTTAGGTAATAAAACTTACTTTAATGTAAGTCCGAAAATGGTAATACAAATTTAGTTGAAAGGATGCTGATTGAAATTAAACGATTCGTGGGTAGCTATGTACAATGATTTCGGTTGGTTATTTCTTCTTTCTTAATTTTCTGTTCTTATACAATTATCTCATGAAAAAGAAAAAACTTTTTCCATCCGATTCATGACAGGCTACTGTAATTTTTCACCCCCTTAACGCACGAGTCAGGCCTCGAATAGCGCTTTTCACCATTGATTCATGTGAAATTTTCATTCATCAGAGACACGAAAGCATGTATGCGAGTACCTCGAAAAACATCTGCTTATATTTACTGCGAATTACATAATGACTACTTGACAATTATCATTTTCAAGTACATCCTGGGAATGGACCTCTTACAATGGATCAGACCATGCTTGTTTCCTCAATGGTTTAATCACTTGAAAGCTCAAAAAAACACGCTTTTAATGTACCTGGAAACATACTTTTTATTCACACAAAACACATTCAACAGTATTTCCTGAAAAACTCCTCTCACTTATTTTTCTAAAAATCAATTTAATCCAACCATTTTGAGTAGCAAGACCTGTGTTTCCTCCATCATTTGACCGTCATTGCGTATGGAAGTGAATCCGTCTTTATACCGTGTAATAAATAAAATTTCCACGAAAAAATGCGCAAGGGAAATCCTTACTTGGTACTTATCACCGGCCTCTGATGAGTTCCTACAACCAGGTCCGCATTAGTCTAGTTTCCGAGTAAAGATTTGCCGCATATTTTCAACTTCCAACGTCACCCAATCCTAGGCTTTAACACAAATCCATGAGCCCAATGTCGTCCAGAGTCCGATTTTGTACTTTCTAGCCCTGCATTCCTGGCGCAGCAGCCTTAATGGTGACTGACTGCACTTTGATTCCTCGCAGCTCCGCGGGTTTGGACAAGATTCAAAACAACCATTTGAATACCGCAGGCCTCAAATACCTCGTCCAAATGTCGGCGGCCATCATGAAATAGCTCCGTCTATGTTTAGAAAACCGCTCTTACAGATAGGCCGATATTGGCAGAGCTTTCTGTTAGGATATACGAGCCGGCTCCCTTGATATTTCCCAATAGCTTGATCACTACACCATGACTCGGATGGCTAAAAATAAAACAAAGAAACGTAAAATGGCCGGAACTGAACGTTCATTTTGTGTTTAGTGCATGCTGCCCGGGCAGGAAGCCGATCTAATAAATTTTGCACCCTCCTCCCATTTTTTCTGATTCTTTCCCCATGGTACGACGCATGTGGAGACAAAGAATCCTAAAAATCCCAACTAAAATCATTCCGTTTCAGTGAGATGTCTTGCCAATGCAGTTTTGCGTATTTCATTCAGTGCTACGACAATAACTGTTCATTTTAAATTGCTGCATAATTATGATGAATTTCTCAGACGAGGTCTTAAATTTACTCCTCACTGTGTGCAGAAAATGTGCGCATTTTTCAGCATCTCGCTTCTGAAAGTATGCGATTTATGTAATTCATTTTTTTACCTTTGCACTCTTAATTTGGAGAACTCGTATGATGAGGGCTACTTCGGGCTGCACAGGAAGTTACGATGCATACGAATGACTCCTTATTTGGTGTTAAAGAAATTAATTTAAATTATATTATTTATTATGCTGGAAGCCACCTTAATGCATTAACAGGTTCAGATTATTATTGCCGATACGCTTTTTGTAATTTTTAAGAGAAAAAAACACGTATTTTTACGAGTCTAGACAATTTTTTCCAGTTTCTTCCTTTCCAAACTTTAGCGCGAACTTTTCAGAGAATGTTATTGAAATATTAAAAGAAAATAAAACAAATTTTTGGCAAAAACGATGATCAGACCTTCTTCAGGAAACCACACCAAAGCACACCCAATCAGAACCCTGTAGTATGAGGTCGTAACAGGCACCAGCTTCAATTGCAACAATGAAAGCAAGAAGTCTCAATCGCCAATCATGGTCATTCACCAATACACCCACGAGGCCCGTCATACACACACTCACAAAACCCTGTAAACGCTCGATATGCACCAATTTTAGCAGCCAATCAGAGCCGACTTTCGAAACCGTCCATGCCTGGATTTTCCCCGTATCGCGGCCCCCTCCCCGCACCAACTTAAAAATAGGCGCTCCACAGGAGATGCCGCTATGCTGAGGAAAAACACCGTATAAGCCTTCCGACGCTGCCGAATTTCCCTTCTGAAAAAACGAATTTCTGGGAGAATCTATTGACTTTTTCTGTTAATTTTTCTCCGTAAAATTGTATTCGTAATTTTAGTCTTCCAAATCTGTAAATTTCACAGATAAAAACGTTCGGTACCCCCTCAAAAATGACCCTTTAATGGGGGAACTTTGACAACATTCAAATGTTCGTACGACGTTTTTCCATATGACGGGAGATAACCCTTCCGACCGGTCGTCACGAACCCACCATTCCGCCCCGGACTGGTCCGCGGTGCGCCAGGCTCCGCGGAATAATTCAGAGCCCCCCCCCCCCCCCNGGGGGGGGGGGGGGCGGTGGCAGGACAAAAAATAAACATCGGCAGCAAAAAAAAAGAAAAAAAAATGCTCAAAGAGCGCCGCACCGAGTGGCGTCTGCATAAATCTCCTACGAGACGCCGCCGCCGCGTCGCATCACGCCGTCCGCGTCGTCGTCCCAGCTTCGCGGCCCNGGGGGGGGGGGGGGGGGGGGGGCGCACGAGTGGACCTCGACGCGAGATGGGGGCCGCGAACGGAATACCACCTGATAAAAATGGCAGCGGGCGGGAGGGACCAGGGCCAAGGGGGAGGGGGGGCGGAATGTCCTCGTCCCCTGCCTTTGGCCGCCATCTTGGGTGCATGCTGCACTTCTGAGAGCGCGGAGCTTTGAGGTTTTTTGACTGGCATGCGCTGTTATGGCTATTGTGGGTCAGGCGCACGGAGCTAGGTGGGACTAGAGTCCCTTTATACTGAGAGTCAAGACAATGTGAATCCATTTCTGATTGGTTCCCGTATTTTAGGCCTTCACAGACGGGAATAAAGATTACAGTTTCACCGATTGCAAAGATTATAATCTGGAATGGACCGGGGAATTACGGGTTCGGCAAGAAACAAACGGAATGAGGGAAGGAACGAAAAAAGGAATTCGAGAATGGGCCGATCAAAGATCACGAAAAACGTTCAATTTCTGTAATCTTTATTCCCGTTTGTGACTCCATGAGGGGGTGTTGTCTTGACTCTCAGTATAAAGGGACTCTAGTTAGAATCTTGGTGAATGCTCGATAGGGTCTTGAAAAATTTTGCAGAATTACTAGTAAGTTTTTTTAAAATCTCTCTCTCTCTCTAGGAAAAAAGTAATGTACCCGTTACGCACCTCGCATATCAATCATCCCATGATATTAATTAAACCTTAACATTCAATTTGCCGTTTTATAGGCTTGATTGAAGCTGGGTCGTAATATTCCACGATCTGATAATTATAAAACTGAAATATGGTTTTCAAATGGAATTTCTGGACGCAGACTGGGAAAATTTTGATCGCGAATATGGAGTCGGGCAAAATTTTACAAGTAAGACGAGAATTTTGTATGTACGTTCCGCTGTTTTTTCACTCTCGCTAAATTTTTTAATCAAAAATAATGTGTAATTAGAACACGATGATTGTGTCAATTTAAAAAATCAAATGAAGGCTGTCTCCATTTTTTCCCCTCTTGTCTCGGAACATTACGTCAGTCTGTAATACCTTTCTATAATTTAAAAAAAAATATGTAGACAAATTAGCCTCAGTAGATCACAAACTTATGTTAGATGTCTGGAACCAAAAACTAAAAATGACGAACTTGAATACGAAACGAGACAAAGGAGTTTTCCCTCACATTCTTTTTTTAGTTTTTTCCATGTTTTCTCGATGCGCAAAAGTACGTGAAAGTGAAATTTCGGAAAAACAATTCTTTCTTCGCTCCACTAAAATTTACCGAAGAAAGTCAGTAATTTGCCACCACTCCTTGTCAACAGTAATTATCGGGAACTCTCGATAATTTCCCAATTTTTTTTTTTTTATTATTATTATTTTTTTATACCAAACG